TTGGCTGGGGCAGCTTCTCTCCGGTCTCTCTTAGAGACAAGATTCTTAGGTATCCTCTCTGATCAGATCCTCAATGTCTCTCTTCAGGATACAACAATCGTTGGTGAGGTGACCGTAATCTCTATAGTAGTGGCAATACTACCGGGTATCTCGGCTCCGTGGATCCGATCTCTTCTTAGGAGCGGTCTTATTGAGGTGCCCTTCCTTTTGGACCAAGGCGAGAGCTTTTGCGAGGGAGGTGTTGAAGACAGTGAGAGCGGGCCTCGGCGCCAAGTCCCTCCACTGGTCTCTCCTGTCGGACCGATTTGAGTGGGAGTCGACTCTCGGGGGTCTCTCAGCCACTCTTGCCTCGCTGGATGGGCTCTTGCCGACTCTGGTGTCGGCACCATCACCGGTACTGCTGTAGGTGTCGGTGGTGTGGGTAGTGCTAGTGCTGTACTGCTACTGCTGAGGTCGTGGCCGTGGAGGTCTCCGTGGCCCTGGCTGCCGCCTTATAAGCTCGGACATCCCCCATGTCCATATACCCATCAGCTTTGGCCATCAGTTGTTCATAATTAGCGATCGACTTCTTAGCAAGTGAGTCGACCAATTCGTTATTCTGCAAGCCAGCTACAAGAGCGAACATAGCAACTACACTCCTCGGGTCATTAACCTCCCGCCTCTTTGCCTGGAACCTCTTGAAGTAAGCATGAAGGCTCTCTTCGGGCTCTTGTCTCATCTGGATTAACATATGAGGGGACAACTTCTGTTTGGTGTCAGCCAAGAAGTGGTGGATGAACTTCCGGCTGAGTTGCTGGAAGCTGCTGATGGACTTCTTCTCGAGGGCGTTCCACTAGAGACTGGCGCTCCCTGACAGAGTGATGGGGAAGTACGGTAAAAAACTGCTTCTGATACTTAGAGCATGCACATTACATCATAATAGTTCTGGACATTTGATAGGGTAAAAATGATTACCAAAAGTTGTAAGTGCACTACTATGAAGTCATAGTATAAAAAGTTATCGAACCCACGAAGAAGGTGTTGTAGGAGGAAATTAAGATCGGTTCTTATGTTGTGTGTGTGACAAATTAGGAGTGTTGAAAGTATGTGATTATGGAGAGATATGAGGAGTGATTGTGAATATATGCAAACAAAAATAAAATGAGGAGAGAAAGAAATCAAGAAAATAAAGAGGAAAGAAATAATGAAAAATCAAGAACAAAGAGAAAATTCAAGAAAGTAAAGATGGAGAATTCAATTAAAGATATGAGGAATCTAGAATTAAATGCACTAGCTAATTTCAATTATAAATTATGAACCATTCTCTTTGTATCATAGTTTACAACAAATTTATTAAGCATAGACTATCAAACCACTTAAAGAAAGCATAACCTATCAAATTATCATCTAAGCAAAATTAACATTCATGATAGACTATCAAACCACTTAAAGAAAGCATAACCTATCAAATTATCATCTAAGCAAAATTAACATTCATGAAAAGAACAACAACTAGATAGTAATTATAGAACCTATCAAATTATCATCTAAGCAAAATTAACATTCATGAAAAGAACAACAACTAGATAGTAATTATAGAATTCATAAGCATAACCTATCAAACCACTCAAAATAAGTATAGATTATCTAATTTTTCTTCTACCAATTAGTTCTCTAGTTGATTATCCTATACATAATCATTTTAAGCACAAGAGAATAATTCACAAACTATAAAAGAAATTAGGTTAGTTTCATACAATTCTAGAATTCCTACAAAAATTAGTTCTACATCTTAGGAAATGAAAATAAGAAATAAAATCTATACTAGAGAAGAATAAAAGAAAAGAGTGAAGATACAAAGCAATTACAAGAAGAGAAATGAGAACAAAGAAATTTACATAGAAATAAATCTAACTAAGTTGTAAAAGAAAAGAACATAAATAAAAATCTAGATTATGTGAGAAAATAAATCTATTCTACAAATTAAAAGTGCAAGCCAATAATGAAAATAAAGACAAAAGTGTAAATCTACTCTACAAGGCATTAGTGTAAATCTAAACTACTAAAGCAAAAAGAAAAGAAATTACTACAAAAAAATAATAAAATAAAAGAGAAAATTTACATTACAAGAGGGTTTTAGCCTCTTGAAAGCAAACCTTCAACTTGATCTTTATTTTTTTCATCTTCATCTTCATTATCAAATACAAAGAAGAAAATATAAAAAGGTGAAAAAAAATCTTTTAGTAATTGTAATAAAAAGTTATAAATTTGTAAGGCCTTCTCAATTAAGAGTAATCTTTCTCTCCAAAAAGAGTTCTACAAAATTTTTCACACCCTAACCCCTCACTCTCTACCCCTATTTATAGCATACAACAATGAATGAGAGACCTTGGATTAAACTTAATCTCCCCAAGTTAATCAATTGCAACCTTTAATTTCACAACATGAAATAGGTATCGATACCGGTATCGATATGTGTATCAATAGCAGTATTGATACCGCTATCGATACATGTATCGATAGCCAGTCTTTTTATTCTTTGGCCGATCTTCTCTTGGGCTTGGACTCTTGGGCTTTTATGAGAGATGAGATATTGAGTTTTTTCTTGGGCTTTTATTTGTTAACCTGCAATTAAGATAAAACACATTTATTAGTGACAAATTTATTTAAAGTAAATAGATAATGAGGGTATAAAATGTAATAAAAATATGATTATCAAATATCCCCATACCTAAAATTTTGCTAGTCCTCTAGTAAAGAAAGAAATTAAAAATCCTAACTCACTTTCGTAGGAATCGCAGTTGTATTTAGTGCATACAACAAGCCTTTAAACCCCTAGGTTACTCTAGAGGATGAGTTGTAGTCTCGTGAGCATTTGTAGTGAATATACCCGCAAAATTCGATTAATTTTGCCAATTCAAAGAAGTTAGTGAATAATTAATTTACTTGATAAGTTTAAAAATTCTACTTTAAGCTAGTTAATACTCAAGAAAATATTTTTATATATAACTCTGAGGTAAATATCCTAGAAAATCTTTTCATTATAGCTCTATAAAACCAAGTCTAACTTAGAATTTTAATTTATTATTCCTTGGTGAATTTTTTCTACGTTATCGGGCTTTCTAAGTGACCATTTAATGAGTTTTGGGCCAATAAATCCTAACCCAATTGGGCTTAGGTGATTAAGTATGGAAGTACTCATTGGGCTTAATTACTCGGTCAACTTAGGCTTTATGAGATAGAATCACCTTGACTTCAAGAGTTTTTTTAAATATATATGTGTGTATATGTATATATATCCTGAAAAAATATCTAGATCAAGACAACTTAAAAAGTTATTTTCAACTCTAAGCTAAGCATGCAAAACGTTTATTATTTTAATTAAAAGTCTAAGTTTTAAGTGAAGTATACTGCTTTAAAAATTATTTCTTCAGAAATTTATTTATAGTTATCATAAAAGGTGAACTTGAGTACAAAATTAACCAGAGATTAGAAAATTAAAAATTTATCAGATAGATCAATTATGCAATGACTTGATTAAATTGACAGAAATAATAATATTTTTTTGACTAAAAACTAACAAAAGGAAAGTGCTAAAAAATGGAAAAATAAAATAAAAAATACTAAAACTAAGAAAAACAAAATACTAACTAACCAATGAAGCAAAATAAAAAGAAACATCTAATTAGCTCACACCGCCATATCTAGACTTTGCATTGTCCTCAAGGCAAATACTAGCAATAACATCCAAAATATCACAGTATATAAGTGCATGCCAAAATAAAAGTCAAATATTGGGTGAAAGAAACATCCCTTACTGCTCATCACCAGATGGATCATGGTCTGCATCATGAGTGGAAACTCCTGTACTAGGTTTAGCTTCATCCTCCCATCCTCCAGGAAAATCATCAGGCTGACGTGATGTGACAAAAGTCTGAAGCTGAGGTGGGGGTTCAGTTGTATCTTCATGCACCCTCTGCCACTCTCTCATCAGATATGCTAAGGACTCGGTAACATAGTTTATCTGACCCCGCATCCGAGCCTGCTCCTCACGAATCTCCTGAATTAGGGTCATGCGTAGCCGGTTGGCGCCAAGGAGGAGCTCTGTGTGAAGAACCTGACTTATCTTGTCCTGAAATGCTCCTCTTCATAGTCTGATCTGTTAATAGCCCCTTCCTTTCTTCTAGTCTATCCTCTGTGAAAACTAGAACAGAAAATTTGTGGCAGAGTCTAGTAATCAAGTAGGGGTAAATAAGTTAAACTCTCGATCCAGACTATGTCCTGGCCCAGTCTAGCACACCCTCCACTGAAGATCTCATCCACACATAGATAATCCTGACTGTATCAAATTGTTGATCGGTGGCTATCTAATAAAGAAGGAGTATATCATGGGTGGTGATGGTTGTGTATGTAGTGGTGGGTTTAAGATTAAAGTTCAGGAAAAGATTGAGTAATCTATACTTAGGCTTGAGATTTCCTGAACCAAAGCTGGATGTGAAGGTCCTCCCACACAAAACCATAGACATATCATTATATTCTGGTGTACCGGGTTGTAAGCTAGAAGCTAATGGTCCTCCCACACAAAACCATAGACATATCATTATATTCTGGTGTACCGGGTTGTAAGCTAGAAGCTAATTGAAAGTAATCGGGTACATCAGCCGATGGCGCATTAAGTCCAAGAATATGTCAAAGTGTGGGAAGATCAATGACTACTTTAACACCCCTAACTGTAGAAAAAACCAAAAAAATCTTTATCTGGATCAAATTCCCATCCAGTATAAAATTCACGAACTAAGAAAATATTGGCTTTGTTTAGGGGTCTATCCATCATACTTCTAAGTACCACTACGGTCAACATATCAATTGTAGATTTATATGTTAAAGTGCACTGATCTGAAATCCTCTCTCAAACTAAATATTTAGACTCACAATCCTGGCCAAGAGTGTGGGTCTATCTATATCATCGGATGGAACTTGAGAGGATGATGAACCCACTCGAGATCTTTTTCTAGGGGGCATCAAAGAAAAATCTTCAAATCCTTGATCTCCAATCCATGATCTTCAATCTTCAAGTGGTTCCTTCACAAGAAAACACACAAGTTAAAGAACCAAAATAAATAAAATCCTACTTATAAGCATCTTCCCCTGCAACGGTACCAAAAACTTGATAGGGTAAAAATAATAACCAAAAGTTGCAAGTGCACAACTATCAAGTTATAGTATAAAAAGTTATCGATCCCACGAAGAAGATACTTGTAGGAGGAAATTAAGATCGGTTCTTATGTTATGTGTGTGACAAATTAGGAGTGTTGAAAGTGTGTGATCATGGAGATATATGAGGAGTGGTTGTGAATATATGCAAACAAAAATAAAATGAGGAGAGAAAGAAATCAAGGAAATAAAGAGGAAAGAAATAATGAAAAACCAAGAATAAAGAGAAAATTCAAGAAAGTAAAGATGGAAGATTCAATTAAAAATATGAGGAATTTAGAATTGAATCTACTAGCTAATTTCAATTATAAATTATGAATCATTCTCTTCGTATCACATCTTACTTTAAATTTATTAAGCATAGACTATCAAACCACTTAAGGAAAACATAACCTATCAAATTATCATCTAAGTAAAATTAACATTCATGAAAAGAACAACAACTAGATAGTATTTTTAGAATTCATAAGCATAACCTATCAAACCACTCAAGATAAGCGTATATTATCAAATTCTTTTTCTATCAATTAGTTCTCTAGTTGATTATCCTACACATGATCATTTTAAGAATGAGAGAATAGTTCACAAACTATAGAAAAAATTAGGCTAGTTTCATATAATTCTAGAATTCCTACAAAAATTAGTTCCACATCCTAAGAGATGAAAACAAGAAATAAAATCTATACTAGAGAAGAATAAAAGAAAAGAGTGAAGATACAAAGTGATTACAAGAAGAGAAAAGAGAACAAAAAAATTTACATAGAAATAAATCTAACTAAGTTGTAAAAGAAAAGAGCCTAAATGAAAATCTAGATTATGCGAGAAAATAAATCTATTATACAAATTAAAAGTGCAAGACAATAATGAAAATAAAAAAATCTAGATTATGCGAGAAAATAAATCTATTATACAAATTAAAAGTGCAAGACAATAATGAAAATAAAGACAAGAATGTAAATCTACTTTACAAATCTATTATACAAATTAAAAGTGCAAGACAATAATGAAAATAAAGACAAGAATGTAAATCTACTTTACAATGCATTAATATAAATCTAAACTACTAAAGCAAAAAGAGAAGAAATTCCTTCAAAAGAAATAAAAATAAAAGAGAAAATTTACATTGCAAGAGAGTTTTAGCCTCTTGAAAGCAAACCTTCAACTTGATCTTCATTTTCATCTTTATCTTCATCTTCATTATCAAACAAAAAGAAGAAAAGAAATATATGAAGAGGTAAAAAAAATCTTTTATTAATTGCAACAAAAAGTTACAAATTTATAAGGTCTTCTCAATTAAGAGTAACTCTCATCTCTAAAAGGAGTTCTACAAAAATTTTTACACCCCAATCCCTCACTTTCTACCCCTATTTATAGTCTACAACAATGAATAAGATCCCTTAGATTAAACTTGATCCCCAAATTAATCAATTTTAACCTTTAATTCCGCAATAGTAAATAAGTATCGATACCGGTATCGATACCGATATCAATACAGGTATTGTTAGCGGTATCGATATGGGTATCGATAGAGGTATCGATACCACTATCGATACATGTATCGATAGTCAGTCTTTTCATTCTTTGGCCGATCTTCTCTTGGGCTTGGACTCTTGGGCTTTTTTGAGAGATGAGATATTGAGTTTTCCTTGGGCTTTTATTTGTTAACCTGCAATTAGGATAAAACATATTTATTAGTGACAAATTTATTTAAATTAAATGGATAATGAGGGTATAAAATGTAATAAAAATATAATTATCAACATGCTCGAAGGGGTCTCCTTCGCCCTTGTACTTCTCCACGTGAGACATCTTGAACTTCTCACACGGGGCGTTCATGAGGTCATCGGAAAGGGGGGTGTCCCCCCCGATGGCTTTGCGATCGATTTGTACACCAGATCATATCCAGAGGCCCCCATGGTAGTAGAGGGGGCCGGAGAGGCATAGTGGTAGGGGAGAGTCTTAGAGATTGCTCCCCTAGTGTGATTCCCAGGGTGACCAGGGCCGAGACTCTCACTGGTGACTTTAGGATCAGGGAGGAGGCATCAGAGAGGTACCTTGGGGCGAGTCGACCGATGTGGCGGTGGAGTCGTGGAGTCGCGTGCTCGACGCGATCCCTCCACTGCTTGGCAGCAGCATGAGGAGTCCGAGGTAGGACTATTTGCTGTGCTCCAGAAGGAGGGTGACACCCCGATCGCTTGTCTTCATAAGGCGGGGGGATGACAGAAGTAGCTTGCTGCGATTGTGAAAACCGGCCGAGGAGCTTGCTGGTGAAGGTAGAGAGTTGCTGTTGGAGGGATTGAGAGATCTTCTGAGCTATTTTTTCAAGCTGAGCTTGAGTAACATAGCTCTGGTGTGGTGCTGGAGGCTGAGATTGATCAGCCATATAATCAGAACCAGACATACTTACTCGAAAAAAGAGCCCCACGGTGGGTGCCAAATTGTTGAGGGTTTAAATTACATAGTTAAAAGAGAAGGTGGGCAAGGATTGAGTTGATATGTGGCCTCTCGCTTTTCTGAATATCTGATTTGGAGTTAGGTTGTTTGTCCCTGCACGCATAACAACTCGTAAGAGGATGGAGACTGGTTCCCTGTTATTCCTCCGACGATCAAGTCAGCTATGTGTTTGAGTGAGAATATGAGAAAAATACAGCGGAATGGAGAAAGATGCTGAAAAATTGCTTACCATTATATTTGGAATAGTTTTCCTTTTTATAGCTAAGCAAGAGGGGTAGTCTAGTCTTTTTGGCTGAGCCTGAGCTGGTAGCTGAGTCAACATCTACTTTACAGGTGTCGGTCGTGGATCAGCTGCGTGATAGGGGCTGTCATTTCGTTATTAATGAGATGCGATGGGTGACGCACGAAGCATGTGTGGTCCGATGTGTCATAAATAGTATAGGGGATGGAGAAATGATGGTGCCTGCCAAGCATTTAATGTGACACCGACATGTTATCAGCGGGGGAGATTCGAGGTTGAAGTCATCCTTTGGCTTGTAGCGAGGGGTGTCAAGAAGTAACACCTTTCAAGTTGATCCTGTGAGGTGTTGAGTAACTGGTCGAGTGAGTTTGTAGCGAGTCGTCTTCGACAAGAGGTCCGACAAGGACCCGCTCTTCGAGTCGACTTAAGAAGATCCTGACTCGGCGAGTCGGCTAATGTCGCGCGATGCTTTTGGTGTCCTGTATCTGTGTTAATGTCGATTTGAGCGGTGCATGTAGGGGACACCTGTCCGTTGTTGGCAAATGGGCATACTTTGGCGACTGAAAACACCACAACAATGCCCAAAATAGCAGATCCATAAAATGCACTGGGTTGAGTACCAAATTGATAATCTAGAAGTATTCAAGATTGTAGCATCAATTCGATGGATGATTTGAAAGGCACGATGTGAGTTTATTTTTCAGAATAAAAGATCTAATCCTAAACAAGTTATTGCAAGGACTAAAATGCTCTTAGTTTCTCAAAATGCGCCTCAAGAGGAGATTGTCAAAACCAGAATTAGGCCAAAACCTACTATTACCTATAGTATTAGTTAGTCATCACCTACAGAGGGTTATATTAAAGTGAATGTTGACACAGCTTTTAAAGAACCAAGTATGGCAATTGCAAGAAATAACAATGGCTCAATTCTAAGTATTTCGACATTGATTTCACACGCTTCCTCAGTGCATGAAGTAGAAACTTTAGCTATCTTGCACAGGCTGCAATAATGCATAGATGAAGAATATCGTAAGGTAATTCTTGAATTAGATGCTATAAACAATATTAACTGGATTAAGAATCACTCCTCACATCCTCCTTGGAGATTTGCTCATTTAGTCTGCAGGGCTTGAAGTTGTGCAAGTTCAATCCAGTATTTGCAACTTCAGCATATCTCAAGAACTTGTAACCAAGTTGCTCATCTAATTGCCGGCATTGCTTTTACATCTGGTATAACTAATACTTCGCACTTCTAGAATATTCCTATTGATCTATCGAGCTCTCTTTGTTCTTGTAACAATGATATTTGCTAGATATAACGAAGCTACGATTATTTTATCAACCAACTAAAAAAGAAAAAAAAAATGAATACCAATTTGAGCCTAGTCACGCGGTCTTAAAAAAAAATAGACGGGTATTTATTTTTGGTAAATTACACCAAACCCCAAGATCTTTCAATATTTTGCAGTAAAATCCAATTACTTCTAAAAATCACACTAAATCTCTAATAATTATAGGAACTGTAGAAAAACTCCTAATAAGTTTGTGCATTTTACAGATAACTCAATGATAGCGGAAATCCACATTGAAGATTTAAATGTGTTGCCGTCTAATCATCACATTTTATTACACTTTTATATACTCGTTATCTATTTTATTTGAATAAATATATCGCTAATAACTTGTTTTTTCTCTTAATCTGTAAGAAATGAAGAATTAATGAATAAGAGCTCAAAAGGAACTTACATTTTATAATGTTTAACCTTTTGTTGAAGTCCAACGTCAAGCCAAACAACCTATAGAAGCTCAAGAAATAAGGATCCAATATGAAAAAATCAAGTCAAATTCATATTCAGGATGATCAGCCGCAAAAAAAACATTATCTCCCAATCCAGAAGGTAGATTGTAACATATGATATATGAAAATTGCCTATCTTGACAAGACAGATCTATTTAAATTTTTAAAAATTTGAGATTGCAATCGGTTCACTAATCGATTTGCCAATCGTTTGTCGGATTGATTGGCCAACCAGTTGACCAATCAGTTGGTCAATGGATTGGTTCGTAACTAAATTATTTTGTGGTTGAGATTTAATTCTTAGAGCCCAAGCCAAATCCAATAGCTTTTGTAGTTTGCTGTAGGTTATAAATAGGGATAGAGGATGAGGGGTTTGAATGTGAAAATTTTTGTAATTGTTTATGATTTAAATCACACAGTTTAAAAGATAAAGTAATAAGGTCTGGGTTGATATAGGGGCTGCTCTCTTTTTCGAATATCCGATTTGGAGTCGGGCTATTCGTCCCTGCACGTGTAACAACTCGTAAGAGGACAGTGACTGGTTCCCCCGTTGTTCCTCCAACGATCAAGTTAGCTAGGTGCTTGAGTGGGAGTATGAAAAAATACAGTAGAATGGAGAAAAATACTGAGAAATTACTTACCCTTGTATTTTGAATAGTTTTCCTTTTTATAGCCATGCAAGAGGGGTAGTGTGAGCCCCAGGGTTCACATAAGACTGTAGTCCAAGATAAAACCCGGATTGTCAAACCTGCCAAACACCAAACACCATGCTACGACATGTTTCACCATCACAGTCACTATCTCTCTAGTGAAATCAACAAATAGGTGAATGTATAAAACAAACAAATAATAGAAGTAGTACAAAATCAGATATGCACAGAAGAAGTATATCAATAAATGAGCCGAACTGAAATAAAATGAAAATATCTCTGAGTCTGAAATAAATCTCAACGCAATGAGTCAAATGAAATCTCACTAAGGCACACAGCCTCTATAAAATGAATACAACTCTAAAGCCTGAACAATGAACATAACTATATAACGAAGCTTCACCTGCTAAGACTGTGCGACGACGACTATGCTAGAACTCTATCATCCTGCGGCTCTCCGAAACTCTGACTTGCCTAAAAGAGATAATTTAAATAAAAAAAAACAACAACAAGAGTGTCAGAGCGCTACATCAATATCACCTCCATCCGCCCTAAGAGGAAGGGCTGTTAGATGAAGTGTAGGCTTTAACTATTAAGTATAGTCTATCTAGATCATTTTCCCCGTATCTAATAGAGTTAATATTTAGACACCTACAAGACGAGATGTAGTACGTCGAGCGAAATAATCCAAACAAGAAAACCCTCATGTATATACCATATGTCTCAAATTATAGACATCTAAATATTAGCACCGAACTAGAGATAAACAATCTAAATGAAATTAATAATTAGAAACCCACAACATGAGACTGGTACATCGAGCGAAATAATCTAAACAAGGAAACCCTCATATATATACCATATGTCTTAAATTGTAAATCCCTAAATACCAATTCTAACTCTATGAATGAAAATAACACTCAAAAGAAATACTCCAAACCTCAACCATATAGAACTAATGCCATATCTCGAACTATTCTCAAGTAGTTGGCGCAATTATAAGAGAATATCATCCAACTCAAAAATCACTGTAGGCCATATCATGTATGCCACAAATCAAATAATGTACCCTACTCATGGGTAATCTATCATGGGAGCAAAACTACATTGTAAGCATATATATATGTATTCATCTCCACGTACAATAGCGATACTTTTGTAAGGCTCGCAGAATACTATGCGGACAACGGATACAATCCTCCTTACTCAATCACTCTGCAGCAATAGGGTTTATCTTCCTATTTCGAATACACAGAATAACGATACTTTTATAAGGCTTGCATAATGCACACGGATATCGGATACAACCTCCTTACTCAATCGTCCTTACGGCAAATAGGTTTTATCTCTCTATTTTCGGATTGCTCATTCGTCCAACGATAATAGGTTTTATCTCCTTATTCCCGGATATGATTCCAGATGATCGTACAACGGTGAATAGGCATATCAGCCCAACCCAGATAAACATACACCGACCACCTTCAAGTATTTGGTACAACCGAGGTCTCGTTATGGGAAAAACAGCCAATACCCCTAGTGTGGTACAACCAAATCTCTCATTACGGGATAAACACCCACACTGAGCATCCATAACCATGAGCATCATCTATTAATTCACTTTCACCAACTCAACTAATATCAACTATCTCAATAATGTGAGTCAAAGCAACATAAACTAAGTGTACGTGCACATATCTCGGTGTGCGTGTCCATATCTGATGTTCACCAACATCCCAGGTGTTAAACAGCTCTTAAGCATAGTAATGTAACAGTACAAGATCGAGAAACTCTCTTGAAAATCAAAACAACACTCAGAAAACAAGCTGGATCGGCCAGCGGCTGACCGACCAACGTTCGTGCACAAGCATGCATGAACAGGCCTGACGGTCGATCGATGCTAAGTGCGCGGTCTACCGGACAAAACCAAAACTGGTTCTCAGGCTTTGAACTTGCAAAACTTGCAACTCATCAAAAACATGTATTTTGTTATTATAAATTATTTGACAAGATTAAAACTTGATTTCTACATATTAGAAAAATATCCCGTGATTTCTTAAATTCTTTATTTAATTGACAAGATTAAAACTTGATTTCTACATATTAGAAAAATATCCCGTGATTTCTTAAATTCTTTATTTAATCTAATCAAGTTTAACAACCCAAATAATTATTAGAAAAATATCCCGTGATTTCTTAAATTCTTTATTTAATCTAATCAAGTTTAACAACCCAAATAATCAAAATTTTCACAAGAACTT